AAGTGTTAAAGAAAGTTGAAAGTATTGAAATCTTTTGGAAATTTTAGAATTATCATAATTCCAGATTGTGTATACACAGGGATGTTTAAGTGGATAAATAGGTACATAATTAGGTAAAAGTGTTTTGTAAGAATCAGGTACTTTTCCAATTAATTTAATAAAAATGTATTTTAGTGAATTTTTCAGAATTATAATATTATTTTAAGAAGATAAAATGTCAATAGAATCTTTATCATACATGATCTGTCTAAGGTATCCTAGTGAGCTATTTGCTAAGCTGTCATTAGTACATATATTGAATGTTAAAACTACTTTCATATTAATGGACAAGGATAAAATCCCATATAGTGCATTTTCTTTAGTGTTAGAAACAGATAGAAATTTGAGATAATTATTTCTAGTAAGAATTATTCAGTTATAAGAGTCTTGTGTACAGAAATATATGATAGGTTAATTATTATTATAGGTATGCTCTCTTGTAGCATTTAAATTAAGTAATATACAGAGATTATTTCTTGTTACTAAAAAAAAGGCATTTCTCTATTCTGAAGAATTGATTTTATTATCTTCAAGGACTTTGATCGTAAAGTTGATATTTAAGTTTCTGTGAGATTTCCACAACACATATTTTCAAGAATACTAGTATAAAAAGGGTCATCTATTTGACACATAGAAAATTTTAATTAACTCACATGTTTAACATTTAGCCAAAGGCATCTACCTGTTGTATTAATCACAGTCTAAGGACTGAATGATAAAGGGTTGATATTATGCTTTTGCTTTACACCTTTGATCATTTGTAAATTAGTCAAAAAAAAAAAGTAATTAATCTTATTCAGTATATACAATGCTACATCTAATACAGGCAATAACTGCATAAAATTTCTGACAAATAGAATGTTTATTCCAGCAAATAGTGTAGAATCATTAGTCATTTTTATCCTTTTTGTAAAAGTATAAAATTGCATAAGGAGTTTCTGCCTAATTATAGAGATTTTATCAATTATAGCATATTCAATTTTAGACTAATATTCTTGAAGTTGGCATAGGTGTTTATCTGATAATATTGAATTATTATTTTGATACTTATTAAATCTGAATCTGCATGCAAAATGTATAGTACTTCTACATATGTTTACTGTCGCATTGCCGATTAAGGCTAAAACGATAAGAGAGACATGTTGTAAAGTATATTCGAAATAGAAGCATATTGCTTGGATAACTTTGGATTTGCCAGTTCCACCTGTACCACCAAGGTAAAGCAGTAATTGCAATGGGTTGTTTTCACATATTTGGTTATTCTTTTGACAATAATCACAGAAAAGCAAGTATGCTTTTTTTTGCTTATTATTTAAGCCAAATCTGAACTTTTCTAAGAAATCAGTATTTATAGTTAAAATAATATTCAAAGATGTATTGTTATTTGTATTATGTAAAGAATTTATGTTAGTATGTGATGCTGTATTATATTTACATATTAAAGTATTATTATTTTGATTTATCATTTTTCGTGAAATGATTGTATTTTGCATAATTTTAGTAGATCAGTATTATAAGCATTGCTTGAACGCATTAGATTCAAAATAGGGTTATTGACCAAATTCATTTTATCCAGTAATCTGAAACTTTTCAAGAGAAATTTGTCTTGAGTTTATAAAAAGTCCATAGTAGCATCAACCATTTTAATATCTTTTATACCAGATTTTATAATTGTTTCAGTGTCAAATACAGACACTTTTTTATCATAACATTATCAATCAAATCATTATTATCAGAAAGGATTGGTTTATCATCAACATTATATTCTGGAATAGAACAGTCTATGTGGTGAATTTTTGCAAAAAATGGGTCCTTTATTATGCTTTTGCATAAATCATGATCAAGTGTTGTCTCTTCAGAACATTTATGCAGTAATTCTATATTGTAAATTATAGATTTTAGACAAGGTAACAAATATAGGCTATTTAAAAATACTTGTCATGCTTTAGCCCAACAATCATAGACTTCTTGAAGGTCCTGAACAGTTTCCCAAGACTTAAATAGCATAAGAATACAAAGCCTATATCATTTAGCATTTTTTAGATTATTATTACTGAGTATTTCTTTACCATGTAATACTATTATTCTTTCAGACCCTTGTTTTCTGTATAATTGGATATATGTATTATATTGAGGATGAATATCATAATTTCATAAATATTGTGATAACAGATATTGTGATACCAGATATCATGTCTGATCATATGAAAAATTTATGAAATGCAATAAGTTATATTTGTGACCAGAAATGGTATTTTAGATCCAGAAGGAAGGATGGGAATAGAAATTACACATCCTTAAAGATATTACATAGTTCAGTGTAAATAGGAATGGGCACTTGTGGGATTCGTGCATAATTCTGCATAAGATTACACGCATTACGCGCGGGAGTATGCATGTTACACGCAGGATTAATTTGGATCCTGTGTGGGATTTTTAATATGATCCCAAAATAAGATTATTCAGCTGGCATTACCATAACAACTGACTAGAATTAATATAATATCTGATCTGCATTAACATATTTAGCAATTCCTAATTAATATTTAGTTATTTATTTGCATACCATTTCACATATAGGTTTATTTATATCTATAATAAAAATTTACCTTCTTTGCCATTGGTATCTTTCGCTTATATTACAAAAAATATTCTTTATTATTAAGTCGCTCTTTTAAAAATAAATAATATGCATAGTAATAATAATATTTGAAATCATCTTACAAAAATTGGATCAGATGAAACCTTTAACCAAGAACATGCTTAATGTAATTACTGCTATTTAACCTTGCAAAAAATATGCAGAAATTCACTATTTTGATTGACCAATGGTAATGACCAAAAGTTTAGACTAAATTACTCAAATTTTTAGTAAAAAAATCATGGCCACCCAATAAGTGAAATTAGGGTTTAAAATTTTGTTGTTTAATGAATCCTGCGTGGGATTTTTGGAGAAACCATGATTTGCCCATCTCTAGGTACTATATATTCCATAAAATTATATAAAATTCATATTACTAAAACTTATATAAAATTACATGTATTGTAAATTCGTAAAATATAATTTTCAACCCTAAGTGAAATACTGTATGTTCCTGTATTAATTTTACTATTACACAGACCCAAACCATAAGCCAAAATTATGTATAATGCAGCCAAAATTTTGTCGATCACAGCTGTTGGAAAATTAAAATTGAGGTTCAATGGCATGGCACCTAGATTTAATGAATCCCGCGTGTAATTTTTTGAAAAACTGTGATTTGCCTATCTCTAAGTGTAAATAACATTTAATAGCCTTAAAGTAATAATAAGTATAAAGTCACATTTGTGAGCGACGAATTTAGTATTATAAATAAAGGCCGAAATGGCTCTAAAGAATGATATGTATTGTTTGCTTAATCAATACACAAGTCCCAATACATTGTATCGTTTATAATAAAAACCCTAATACTATACCTGTCATAAATTTTGTAAACCCCAATAATCATCATTGTTCGTTCAAGCCCCTGTACATGTGACTGACCCTACTTGCATTCATTGACCCAAAGTAACTGAAAGCCTTTCTTGTCCACAAGCCAAATCTAACACCCTCTTTTGAAAAGGTTACTTGTCATATGTTACACAAGGTTTAGAATTTTAGAGTGACAGAGTCGCAAACTTCTAAACACAACAATATAGTCATAATTATATTCACTTTTATGAAAAAAAAAGCACCAACATATAATTTGGTTTTACTTGAATTTTGGTTCAATAGCATTGAAAGTTCATAAGAATTTATTAGAACTTTTCAAATAGTAGAAGCATAGTCATAGAAACAAATATTTTTTAGTAATTTATTTCAAAACCAATAATCAACTCAGAGATTTATAACAGTCAGTTTGTCATTATAGGATGATATCAGAAATAATTCAGGTGTTAGATTTTGGTTGGCTTGTTCTTCATTTAGATTTGGTTCTTCATCTGATTCATTGTCCAATTCATAATCATTTTCTGAAATTTAATTAATATTTGACTATTTTTTCATGAGATAAGATTCAAAAGTTTAAAGATAGATATTTGTGAATTTGTTAGGAGTATAATAATCATCTATATCTAACAAGTATGCAAAAACTTGTGGGCTTGTAAGTTCTGTTTGATCAGTCATTTTATTAAAGTATTTAGTTATTAGTTTACATAATTTATCTATAAGACTATATGAATCATTATTAGGTAATTAGTCTAAAAAAGTTTCTAGAATAGAGGTGAACATCAAAAAAGAGCTATGTGTGCTAATATCTGATTTGGTAATATAATTGGTAATATAGTAAATGTAAGCTAGTGCAAGTTTTTGGATAAATATAAATTTAATGTTGTTATTGCCTCTATAGGCAGTTGTTATATAAAGGTTATGGTTGTTAAAATAAGCATTTGTATGTTGAATAGCAATGATTTCCTGTTTAGAAAAGATTATACCTAGTGGATCTACAAGTTCTCATAGAAAGTTAAATCAGCAATGCTTTTGCAAACTATAATTAAATTTTTATATATTTTCATATAGTGATGCAAAAGTGTATATTTACAAATTGTGAGTAAATTTAAGTGAAATTTTTTCTTGAAGTTGGGTAATCTGAGATCAGGTATTGGCAGAAAAGAAAGGTGCATTCATTTTTTAAGAATTGTTTTAGGAGCTAAACATTCAGCTTTAACTATTTTATCAGTTATAAGTTCATCTTTCTTGCAAAGATAATTAATATCTTCTCAAACAATATTACTAATATAGTTTAATAAACAATAATAAAATTCATTGATATTTTTAAGTTTTTGGCATAACAAGATCAGGTCAAATGCACCATGAAGCCAAATGAGCATGTAACAGTAAGAAATACTATGGTCTTAATATTTGAAACATTATAATAATTTTTTATAGCTCTAAATATGCTATTATTTTTTTTATTACATCTAATCAAAATATCAATAATTGCTTAAATAATAGTATTAAAGTATTTAGCAACAGCTACTAAGTCAAGATGTGTAAGTTGAGCTTTTTTCAAGGCTTTTGGAAAATTTTTAAGAGCAAGCTTTTCAGGATCAATTTCATTTTTAGCATACATCATTACAATAGAGCTGTGTAGATCAATAAGATTTATGGTTATAAATAGCAAAGGTGTGCCATCACACATGATAATAGCATGTATTTCATTTCATATACATACATGTAACTAATAGGATGCTATTAACTTAGAACTAGCAGAGTTAACCTTTCTAAGTAATTTGAGAATTTCTGAGTTGTTGATAGGTTGTTTTTTTTGTTCTTGCTTAATAGTAAAGTTAATATGTTCTGGTTTGAGTGTTGATATCAATTTAGCTAACTGATCAAAATTATTGTTTTTCATTAAATTGTAAGATTCTCTTGATACTTCTCGCCATTGCAGAACATTAAATATGATAAATGGGAATGATCTGTGTTGTCTAAATTTTGGATTGTAGCAATGCATAAGATAATTGGTATATTTACTTAATAAAATTTGAGACAATTGACCTTTATGTTCTCTGACACCATATGGATAGAGAACTGGAAATTCTGCAGGAAAGGCATTAAATTTTTATATTTGTTTATCAGTTTGTTGCCATGAAGTATGCATAATATTTGTGGCTGTATAGAGGGTTTAGCTCTTATTTTGGTTATAATCTTATTTATGAATAATTGTTTATTTGCATAAAAATTTAATTCATCAACAATTTTTGAAAAGAAAACAACATAAGCTCTCTTTTAGTAATCAGTACATTATTAATATTTATTATTTCAGAAGACCTGAGTTCACTTGCAGTATTGATTAAATTATTGATAAGAATATAGTTAAAGTTATGTTTATTGATATTAAGTAATTCTTTATTATCACTACTAGATTCTTAAATATCTAATAAAGGATTATTAGTATAACCAGTATAGTGTTCAGTTTTACGAGAATTAATATTTACCATAGTGGTTGTTAGAGTTAAGGCTTTAGGAATTTCTCCTTTAGGTAAGTTATTTAAAGCATTTTTATCAAGTATGCAGTTTTCTTTAAATAACTGGTTATGCTCGAAGAGCCATTGAAGAGCTACAGTTATCTTGCTTTTTTAAACTTGAAGTACTTTTTTGAGTTGTAGATGATTAGATAACCTATTTCTGATGAATACTATTTTTAGATATTCACAGAAGTAGTATATTGGCAATAGCAATATGTTAATTAATGAAGTCAGATCTTGAGAAAACATGATAACATGCCCTTTAAGTTTATGATGTGTTTGTTTTTTTTTTGTCAATTGAATAAGATTCATATACAGATACTTTGGTGAAATTAAAAGTTGTTCTAGAATTGTTAAATCTTAAAAACATGGCAGTGTGAATCCAATCCACATGTTTTTAGCCAATGATAAAGATGGTGTTTTACATTTTTGTAAATGTTCATAGCAAGGCTTGCAAACTTACAAGCTAAAAGAGTTATTAGAAATGTTGTAATTTTTAGACAAATAAATGAATCCAAAATAATCAAGAAGAACTTTTAATCTACTAGCATTAATGTAAGGATAATTGTAATCAAAATTAATTTCAAATGATGGATTGATAAGGTTTATTGATGCTTTAAGTAGAGTAAAATCAATTTCTTGCATGGATATTTTTATATAATTATAAAAATTATAAAGCTTTAAACAAATAGCACAAAGTAATTCTCACAGTTCATTAAGACTAACTTTATTATGAAAATTAGTTAAAGCATTTATAGCTACTTTATTCTTGATAAGCTGAGGCCATGTAGCATATTGTAATAATAATTTTTTAAAATTTTCATTTATCATGAAAATTAGCTAAAGCATTTATAGCAACTTCATCCTTGATTAGCTGAGGCCATGTAGCATATTGTAATAGTGATTTTTTGAAATTTTCATTCATCTCTAAAATGTATAAAGGAATATCTAAGCATTCTGCTTAATGATCTCTCACAAGTCATGCTTAAACTTTTTTTTCCTTTTAAATGGCATTTTGTTTTGCATTTTGTAATTTTTGAAAATAGGAATTTTTATGCCTAAAAGCTATTCGTTTGTTATTTTTTTTTTGGCTTCATCACTAGTTTCTATAATAAACATGTTGTCTTAAAAATGAAGTCAGATATTTAACAGTATAAGTATTTAACAAATATGTAAATAATATTTTAATAGTGCAATTTAAGATTAAAAATTGATAACTTTTCTCTTTAACTAACATGGTTTTTTATAATTTATAGGATAAAGAAGTTTTATTAACAAGATAAAATTGATAATAATAACCTGAGCACTATTTTTTCTAATATGGTTGAAAATATTGATGTTAATTATGAATACCTTTTTTGATAAACAATCAAATATCATATATTGCAACTGAATATCAATATTTAGTATTATTGATATTAAATGCTAACAGATATTTCAAGAACATAGGCACATTATACATGTATTTACAGATAAGTTTATAGTTACAGTATTTTTAATGCAGATCATGTTAAAATGTTAAAGGTTGGTATATCGACTAAGTAATTAAAATTATGCAATAGCATCTTTTATATAACAGTTGTTTTATGATTTATTAGTAGCAAACCATCAGCATCACATCAGCAATTATGTTTTTACATAGTCATATGTAGTATTTTTATGTAGTTTTACAAAAACTTTATAGACCTAATGTAGATTTATATATCTATTTATATAAATATACATATATTTTTATATAGAATCAGAAAAAATATTAAAACTAGAATTAAATTTAAAGTTTAAAATAGGGTTTGAGAAAGGTTTTTAAGTATACTGAACATTTTTACTTAATGCATCAATTAGTGATTACCTTACTTACTCTTGAGAAATAACTAAATAAATCAAATTATTAATATATATACAAAAAAATTTATATAAATTTTATATTTATATAAAATAATAGATAAAAAATACATAAATTCGATATAAAGTACTCTTATATGGATTTGTAAAACTATAAAAAAAATTTATATAATATTTATATAACATTATAGAGCTATGAAAGTTTAAAAAATAAAACCAACTTGATGATGTATTACTTTAACTTAATATTAATAATATAAATTTCAAAGTGATTTGACTTATTATCAACATTTTAAATTATCTCAAAGTTTATGAATTGTTTATGAAATGCCAAAGAATAATGATATATATATCAATATACAAGTTTTAAGAATTTATCTACAGAAATTGTCAATTAAAATAAAAAAAATAGTTATATATAACTATAGGTTGAAACTTATTTAGAGCTATTACAAAGAATTAAAGATAGAACTTTTGAATTTGGTTTAAAGAAAGTATAACACTGTTAACTTGTAGTTTTTTCTTTAACTACAGCAATAACAGAAGCTGTTCAACTATAGTATGATGACTATAACTTGACAGGTTCTATACAAAGTCTACACAAGACTTAACAAAATACAGAGTGAT